GACGAGGAGGGGCGGAGAGAAGGTTCAACAGGTGAATGAGAACATGTTATTCATGCCATGTGGTGTCAAAGCTACATCAGTCTTATTCCAAAAATAACAGCAGGCTTCCTCCTGAATCTGTTCAATGGAAATATTCGTTGCTCTGTTCATTTCATCCCGATACTGCTGTATTATTCAAGGTCAAGGTGAACGTGATATACATTTCAATAAAGGTTACCGCGGGTCCCGGCTTAACCCAATGGATTATTCCGGCTTAGTTACGCTGTCCCGGCTTAACCCAATGGATTATTCCGGCTTAGTTACGCTGTCCTGGCTTAACCCAATGGATTATTCCGGTTTAGTTACGCTGTCCCGGCTTAACCCAATGGATTATTCCGGCTTAGTTACGCTGTCCCGGCTTAACCCAATGGATTATTCCGGCTTAGTTACGCTGTCCTGGCTTAACCCAATGGATTATTCCGGTTTAGTTACGCTGTCCCGGCTTAACCCAATGGATTATTCCGGCTTAGTTACGCTGTCCTGGCTTAACCCAATGGATTATTCCGGTTTAGTTACGCTGTCCCGGCTTAACCCAATGGATTATTCCGGTTTAGTTACGCTGTCCCGGCTTAACCCAATGGATTATTCCGGTTTAGTTACGCTGTCCCGGCTTAACCCAATGGATTATTCCGGTTTAGTTACGCTGTCCCGGCTTAACCCAATGGATTATTCCGGTTTAGTTACGCTGTCTCGTGGCATCACTGCATTAACAAAAAGAGATGTCCCATATGTTTCATAGGTCAGTGGCCTCAGCATGTACGTTATTCTGTAGGAATTCACATTATGATGTGGCTGCAGCGTATTTCTTAACTTAACACTTTTGAAATAGACACTGCACATATTCTAAGGGGATCAAGAGGGAGTACATATTCTATAAAATAGGGGTCTCATACTTGCGGCCTGCGAGTTGCGGCCCGATACCTGACAGCAATATTTGGTGTTAATACGAATCGCGCGTAATCCCCATTCTCATATCTCTAATGTGACCCTCTGCGATGGTTTCAGTCGAATCTCACCAACCTGTCTAGTTCTGATTTTTAGTATGCTTGTATAGGTTTGGACGTTCATTACGATGGTTAAAAGCGTTTTAAAATCCGACTAATTTTTTTTTAATGACACATAGAATGTTATGTGACAAACATGGCCATAATGCTGTTTTGAGAAAAAATAAATGAAGGTTGTATTTTCATTTCTATTGTTGGCTGATGAAGGCTTTATGCCGAAACGTCATTGTTTTTTGTCCTGTTACCTTATTTCAAGCTTCCACATACCTCGTTTCACTATTTCATTGTTTTGAGAAAACACGCTTCGAATATTTTAGATAGATATGTCAAACGTTTAAAAGTCAGTTAGTGGGTTGTGCACAGCCATAATTGTGTAAATTGTAGCAATCTGACAGTTATCAAAGAATCCGTATTAAAATCGCTCCTAGTTTGTACGAGTGAGCGAAATTCTGAGTCTATCAGCTTGGTTATTTTCAAATTAGGGTTAGTCAGAAAGGCCTTTTCTACGATAAAAAGTCAAAATTCATTTTCCCAACAAAAGCGTCTTCCTTTGTATCAATTATTCATAAATATTGCCTTCTCCTGTATTCTGTTTGAACACGTTTTTGCCTTCAGGATGGAGTGGTTGTTCTTGTAATAAGTGATCCCACACTTCTTATGGACTTGCCTTTTCTTGTTGACATTACACAGGAGCTGAATGTATACAACAAGAAGTAGCGAGACCAGGTGTAGCTTGTCAGTGTTGCATATGATAATGTCAGGGCATTCTGCACAAATCTTGTGTTTGTGTTATAGTTCTCGTAGATAAATCCCTGCCATATCCCAACATGCAAAGTTCTAATGGACTCGGGCACACAATTCAGTAGTGAGTATACTGATGCCATTGCAAAGCTACAGTAAGAATTTGATCACTTGTTTGCGGACTTCAAAACACTCAGAGCCACTTTTCAAATTTTTGCTTACTCTTTCTCCTTCAATGTGGAAGATCCCCCCCCCTCCACCTTTTTTTTTTTTTGCCACACACACATCTTTTCTTTGCGCTTCAAATGGAACTGATTGATCATCAGTGCAATTTTGAACTCAAGATTAAATTCAGTGAGGTAAATGGAAACAGGGATAAGCATGGACAATTTATGAGAGCACTCCCCCCAACCTCTTCTGAAATTTCCAGGTTGTTCAAGAGCATCATGTGCCTGATTTTTGGAGTACCTATCAATGTGAAAAAGCTCTTTGCCACTATGAATTTTAACAAGTCAAATTTCAGGTAAAAAATTATTGAGGAGCATTTTCATGCTATAGAGAGGGTCTCAGTTGTTTCCTCACTCATGCCAAATAATGATCAGCTGTGTAAGTAGAAGTGCTGCCAGATCTCTGGCAAACAAGGAGTAGGAGGAAGTAAGTGAATCCTTAATTTTTTTTTTATTTGTTATTAATAAAGGCTAAGCACATTGTAACAGTTGTACTTTATTGCATTTGTAACCGCTTTTTTTCTGTGATACTTGATGCGGCCCAGTCTCGACCAGACTCTACCTCTTGCGGTTCCCGGATAGTTTGAGTTTGAGAGTCCTGTTTTTAAAAAGTTTTTGAGCTCTTATCACTTAGTGTGGCACATGGTGTCAGGTCGGATGTTAAGGACGATATGCAATATATTCTACTCATTGGGGAAAGTGAATTCAGCTGTCCTTTGGTATCACCAAAATATTAAATCTATCACATAAAACAAGATATAGAGCTGGAAGAATTCGCCCAAAAGTAGTAATTTGCTTTCATATAGTTTCTAAGGATTTTTATAAATTGATGTAATTATTGCAGAGAGCTTTCGCAATTAGGGCACAGAGATTTGGGGGACATAAAACACGAAGAAAAGTGGCAAATTCTCTTTTAAAAAAGCCTAATTGTAGTAATAAAAGAATTTCTCGTCTCCTTGATATGTATCAACTAGTTCAACCGGTGTTTTCTGCATTAGATTGGTAGCTGTTATCAGTTGCCTTGGAATGTCCAGGAACACACAAGCAACTCTGTGGTATGCTCTCAGTAGATTCTCTACTTAAATGCCTTCGTTATATGACCTTTTAAAAATGAAAATATTTTAGAATGTTTCCTTAAATTTCTTTTAGTTAATAATTGCTTGGAAATAATATATTTCTTTAGAAATGTAGAATAACCTTTTACTAGATTTAATTTGATGTGTCCGTTGAATACCCCAGTGAATATTAAGGCCTGGCAAAAATAACCCGCATAGCCTCCCCTTAAGGGCGTTGTGGTGACAAGTAAGGGGCATTGAGATGGGGCATTAAGATGGAAGCTGCTGTCATGATTCCTCGGGAGAGCAAAAATAAATATTGCTGTAGAGAAGTGTGAATCAAACAAGATTATATACAAGTAGTGTAATTTGAAAAAGTAAGGACGTCACAAGTCTTAGCATGCAGCCTTCCTTTTACTTTACATAGAACTGATGTTTAATTTATTTTAAAAAAAAAAACAGTTTGACTAGACAATATGTTAATGAATTGTTAAATAGCATAGCTGCATTGCTCTTAACCCAGCCGGGGGGGGAAAGTTCTCTGGTCATGTGTGTCAACACCAGAACACGACAAAGAAAGCTTGTGGACTGGAGTTCCATCCCCAGTCGTACACTAAAAATCGATACTGGCACCTCTGGAGGATTGGACTCGTCCACCTTGTATAGCGGCTCGTTACTCTTGGATGGTGGCTCATCTGTCTTTGATTGCGGGTCATCCACCTTGAATGCTGGCTCATCCACCTTGGATGGTGGCTCATATTTTCAACACTATCTTTTTTTTCAGCTAATAAGTTTAGTGCGTTAACTTACTTTCAAGTGTCTGATATTCCAATAACAATAACATACACACACTGCCCCCATAATTTTCAGGAGATCGGTGAAACAAAGTAGGAACAAACTAAAACACATTAGTAACAGCTTAATATTCGTCAGTCAGTAGATTTTTCTTTCCCTATTAACCTCATAACTCGTTAAAATAAAATAAAATGAAATCCAATGGAGGCAAACAGTTAAAATAAATTCGGTTTATTTCTAACGTCAATCTGACGCGTAGCCTCAAACAGTGATTGGAATGAACGTTTTTTATTAAGCTTACTTAACTTCGGGTTTTTTCCAATATAATACTCAAGTTTAAATGAACTATGCTTACACAGATGTAGGTTCCAAGTTGGGTTGTACATTATATCGAAGTAAAATCTTATTAGACGTTGTTCCAGTCCCATTTCAAAATGTAATCTTACTCTAGGTCGTTCCTGTTGAATGATTTTCAGTGTGTATCCTATTATTATGTTTACTCTTGGATTTCTTAAACAAAAAAAAAGAGCAGTTTTTTGCCCCTTAACAATGGCTGTTTTCTTTCGATTTCATAAATCTGACGCATCACCACCCTAAATTACACACTGCTCGTTGTAACATGATTATGTCATAAATACGGCAATTAAATATAATATCTTCTTGTGAAATATCGCCACGATACCCTATAAGCGAAATTTAAAATTAATTTGATGTTGCTGAAAAATATATTTAAATATACATACTTATCTTTCATGGAATGTTTGAAACGAAAAATCACTTAAACTGATGTTCCATATTAAATTAAAATAGGAGATAAAAGTGTAATGACTCACGCTACTGATCCATATATGTGCCGACTAAAGCAGGCCTATAATTAAAAATATTGATATATTTTATTTATTTGGCTGAGTTTAAAAACATTGTCTCGAAAACCTCCCTGCATCACTCTAACCGAACAAAACTTAAATTGCAAAGATAAAATGGAAACCAATCAGACAATAACATCTTTTGTCAACATAATTTCGACCAGGAATTCAGGGTTGGACACTTACTTAATGTCTGACGAACTCATCAAGCACTTGGAGCTGACTCTGACCTTTCCTATCCATGGCTTGACCGCCATAACTGGAGTGACCACAAACCTGCTCAGCATGATCATCTTATCTCGACTTGGACTCAAGAGCAGCATGTGGGTTGGAGGGTTCGCTCTTTCTCTCACAGATTTTATTGTAACTACCTTACAAATCGCCGTTAGCTGTTGTTATATTCTAAATTACGTCTACCCAGAAAGCGACGTAGACATGGTGATGTTGGGAGTTTTTGCTCTTGGTTCCATCCGGTATGCCGGGTTCTACATCTCAATGTGGATAACCACGGTCATTTCAGTAGAAAGGTGTTTCTGTGTTGTGTTCCCGTTTAAAGTCAAGCGTTTATTTACTCGATCCCGTTGTGTCTTCGCCATAGTGGTGATATATTGCGTCTATTTCAGTCTTATATTACCGGTATACATCTTTGAGAAAATAGCTTGGATTGACATATATTCAATACAAAACAATGTTACTGTAAAAAAGAAATTGCTGACGGCCATTTACAGTGAAGAGTCTTTGAATTTAGAGATTATTATCGACACAATTGGTGCAGTCGCACTCTCTGTAACATCTCAAGCTATCCTCATCGTGTGCACTATTTGGATGACTTGTGCACTGAAGGCGTCTTCAAACATCAGACAAAATAAAGAGAGTCTCTATGATCCCAACAAATCTGCATTTAAAATAAAGACATCGGAGCTTTCCACCCGTGAAAGGAAGCTGATTAAAGTGGTCATCGGCCTTGCTTTTGTGCTGACCTTTTGTAACATTCCCAGGTACGGGGTCCTTGCTGCCTACCTGTCTATACCAGGCTTGACTGGCGAGGAGTACAAGCATCTGGGTGCCTTCATGTGGGACATATCCGACTTCTTCGGCACTCTTAACTGCTCCAGCAACTTTTTCGTTTATTGGTTTGTGAACAGCCATTTCAGAAACAGTTTGAAACAGTTGTTTAGATTAGGGCCCACAGAAAGACAATAGGAGAGCTCAATACTCAAATAATACATTAACGAAAACGTGAGGTTATTTCTTCGCTTCATTTCAAATGTCATTTTAAATTGTTTATTTCTTTTTTCTTAAACTTTTAATTTAAAATTATAAAGTTACACTAGGTCACACATACCCACCATTTTTTGTTTCGTGAGGATATTTTAAAAAACTTTAAAGCAACGTGACGCGTGACCCCTATTTATAAAAAAAAAAAGTGTAATATATACACATATGATGTATGGTAACTTAAAACACATCCAAACACATTTTTTCAATATAATAAAATTCGACATCATTTTTTTATTATCATTTTAATTGCGACTCGCTAACATGCCTCAAAATACGAAGTTGAGCTCAAGTTAACGTCAACAATGTAATGTTTCTTGTTTTTGTTTCCAAATTAAAGAAGTGTTGAAAACACACCCTCGTAGAGGTACGTGGAAACTGATGGAAATATTTGGGATATTATTATTAAAACTGTAAAACAACGCTTGAAGGTTAGAATGGCTTTAAAGTCTTTTGGGTTTATTTGCTGACTCAGACGGTGACCCAATACAAAAGAGACTGTCAACAACTGCCCAGTTTTTACATATCTCTGCTCCAAAATTTACGAAAAAAACTAAGATAGCCTTTATTTTCTGGATACATCATTTAAACTGCAAATAAGAAATAACTACTTGGCCCGTGCGTAAATATGTTTATGTGTGTTGTAAATCTAAAGAGGGCATCCCAACAGGTCATTCCTAATCATAAAGTGAAATGTAATTTTTCTTAAAAATGTAAAAACATTTCATAAATATTTTATTAGTAAAAATGACATGTTTTTAATGTAATCTTTCCATCAAACAGGATTTTTTAATTGTTTTATTTTTTTAAATTTAAAGTATCTCAGACCTAAGACAAAGTTACAATATTAAAAACTTCGTACATCTTGTTTCTATTTCCGTAGCGATAAAGTAAAATAAAGTAAAGAATTCAGAAGAAAAAAAGTTCCTAACTATCCCGACCAACTCACATCATAACTAAAACAGATAACGCGAGAGAACCTAGGACTAATCAAAATTATAGAGAATTTTAACGAACTATTTTACCTGAAAACATTGTAGTTTAAGTTTGTGGAGTTAATCTTATATTTATCATCATCAGCAGCGCTACAGCACATGTTGGAACCTGCTCCAGCCACATCCTTCCATTCGGATGGATCCATGGCTTTTCGCCTCCATGCGCGAACGCCCAGCAGGTTTGTCCTTCTCTACATAGTTGATCCATCTCAGTCTTGGTCGACAGGTAAGCTGTCTGACCCTAGGTTGTTCCTGCCTGGAGATCACTTTTGCTGCTCTACAATCTGGCATCCTTTCACAATGTCTTGTCCAGCGCAGTCTGCCCTTTTTTTTGTTGTTGCTACTTTTGGTGGGTCTTTGTACACTTGTTATAGATCTTGGTTTGTACGAATTCTCCAAACACCGTTCTCTATCACTGGGCCATATATTTCGTTCTGTAACATCTCTCCGTAAATCTTACTCTAACATCCATCTGTAAAAACTCCATTTCTCCAAGGAGATATCTGACAGTAGAAATATGATATGTGGTTGATCTATTCATGGGGAATTCACATTGATGGTTTTCTAGGATCTGTTCCCTATTCCTTTCCAGTTTTCTTGCTATTAGTTTAGTGAGGATTTTGTAACTTATATTAAGTGGATAGATTCCTCTATAATTTCTATCTCTCTGTAACATCCCACTGTAACATCTCTCTGTACCATCTCTCTTAATATATCTATGTAACATCTCTCTGTAACATCTCTCTGTAACATCTCTCTGTAACATCTCACTGTAACATCTCTCTGTAACATCTCTCTGTAACATCTCTCTGTAACATCTCTCTGTAACATCTCACTGTAACATCTCTCTGTAACATCTCTCTGTAACATCTCTCTGTAACATCTCTCTGTAACATCTCTCTGTAACATCTCTCTGTAACATCTCTCTGTAACATCTCTCTGTAACATCTCTCTGTAACATCTCACTGTAACATCTCTCTGTAACATCTCTCTGTAACATCTCTCTGTAACATCTCTCTGTAACATCTCTCTGTAACATCTCTCTGTAACATCTCTCTGTAACATCTCTCTGTAACATCTCTCTGTAACATCTCTCTGTAACATCTGTAACATCTCTCTGTAACATCTCTCTGTAACATATCGAATTCACTTGATTGTTTGCATGAGTTTGAGGACGTATTCACTGAAAGCGTCTTCCGAATTTTTACAAAATAAAAACATCATCACTGATCCAAAAAAAATAAAGAGCGGATCTCCAATCATAACAAAATAAAGACGTCATATCCAATCTTAACAAAATAAAGACGTCATATCTAATCTTAACAAAATAAAGACGTCATATCCAATCTTAACAAAATAAAGACGTCATATCCAATCTTAACAAAATAAAGACGTCATATCTAATCTTAACAAAATAAAAACGTCATATCCAATCTTAACAAAATAAAGACGTCATATCTAATCTTAACAAAATAAAGACGTCATATCTAATCTTAACAAAATAAAGACTTAATATCTTATCTCAACAAAATAAAGACGTCAAAACAGATCTATCTCAACAAATTTAAGACGTCATATCTGTTCGATCTCAACAAAATAAAGATCCTAGAAAGTGTCCGTTAGAGACCAAGATAGCTGAGCTTTCTATAAATTAAAGGAAAATGTTTCAAGTGTTCTTCGTAATGCCACTTCTACTGACCAGTTGCCATTTACAGTTGTTTGAGATCATTGCTGTCCATCTCACACTAAAAGCCAGGATTACAAACATCTCGTTCATGTTAGACATATCTGACTCCTTTGGTACCTTAAACTGTTCCAGCACCTATTAGTTCACACTTTCTAAATAATCATTTTAGGAATTAAAATTTACATTCCAGTGAACAAACCAATTCAGACTATGCTTTGATTTGATGAAACTACTGATTTAAAATGCGTATTTTAAAAAAAAATAAACTATATTTTTTTTTGTGTATTGATAAGTTTCTGTCGTTTTGTCTATTGATAAGTTTCTGTCGTTTTGTCTATTGATAAGTTTCTGTCGTTTTGTCTATTGATAAGTTTCTGTCGTTTTGTCTATTGATAAGTGTCTGTCGTTTTGTCTATTGATAAGTTTCTGTCGTTTTGTCTATTGATAAGTTTCTGTCGTTTTGTCTATTGATAAGTTTCTGTCGTTTTGTCTATTGATAAGTTTCTGTCGTTTTGTCTATTGATAAGT